ATTACTGCAACAATAACAACAACAACAATAACACCTACTACTACTACTACTACTATTATTACTGCAATAATAACAACATCTCCATTGGTATTATTGCCGCAACAAACCAATAACGTTTATCATTGCTGCATTTATTACAACAATAACAATGCTACTACTACTACTACTATTGTTACTGCAATAACAACAATATCTTCATTGCTATTATTACTGCAATAAACCAACAACGATCTATCACTGCTGCATTTACTGCAACAATAACAACAACAATAGCATCTACCACTACTATTGTTACAGATTACGAACTAGTCTTACTTACCAGTACCATTATTACAAAAAAAAAAGACCATTAGTGCTATGATTCTAACATTCATTGTTATTTCAAGTATTTGTCACCATCATTTATTGTCCAATAATATTTCTGGTTCTCAAATAGTTGTACTTATATAGTAGAACAGAACGATGAAATTTAATTCATTTATAATTTAAAATAATCAAAATGTTGTCATCGAAATAATTTATTTTATATTTAAAAATTAAAATGATATAATTGATAGTGATATAATTGATTTACGTAATACGTGAACATATAATGATTACAATACGAATTAGCTAATTAGCTAATTAAACGTATGTTAATATGATTGTTAAATTAATTATTTGAGATGGCTAAATCGGAAAGTCATATTGTTAATGATGGAATGATTGGGACAAATCATACTCTACAATCTGTTATCTTTGATAATTTTAATCATTCAAATATGTATAAACGATCACGTGTTGGTCTTCCGTTACATATAATTTCAAATGATTTATACGCATCCAATATGGAAACTATTGGTACTAAACATTCCAAAATAGAAACTTTCTCGTAAGTCCTAAAATTTCATTTTATTAAATTTCCAAAAAAATTTTTTTTTTAAGAAATATTTAAATTTGTAAATTATTTAACATTTTTAGCTGGACAACAGTACCACGAGGATGGGATGTTTTTCGTTTACTACCACCACCACCGGATAACCTGAATCGTGGTAAATACGAAAATTATTGAAGGCTATTATATTCAAATAGTTTTAATGAGAAGCTTCAATTAGTGTCCTGTTTTTAATTAACTCTCAACGATAATACGGATAAATATAACTCATAAATTTCTAACTTAATTGTATAAATTGAATACCGTAATAGATTGTAAAGATTTGAATTCGATTTTTTGTTTTTTGTTTTTTGTATTATCCAAAAATCTAATCTATACAATAAAATAAATTGAATACCGTAATAGATTGTAAAGATTTGAATTCGATTGAATTGAATTTTGAATTCGATTTTTTGTTTTTTTTTTTTGTATTATCCAAAATTCAATTTATACAATAAAATGTTAGGATGATTAGGGAGATAACAAGTATTAAGTAAAACTAATCAAGTAATTGATGAAAATAATTAGGTAATTGATTGCTTCTTCCACAAATTCATTTAATCGATTAATTGATAAACTTTCAGTTATGGTTTTTCTGGTAAGTCGTGGTTCTGTTCAATTTACAAGAATCAAAAATCGATTTTATATAAATTATTTTTTAAATAATTATTTGATTTAAAACAATTTCTTGCTAAGTTAAATTATGAAAAATCAATCAATAATTTGATTATATGTTTTTGATACTATTAAACTTTTGCTTTTATTTGTTCATTCCATTTACCTTCCTGTTTTTTATGTAATTTTTAAAAAAATGTAATCAAATAATTTAATTTAAACAAAGTTTAATCTTTGGTCTAATTTCAGGTTTTTGGTACGATGTAAGCTTACAAATATTAAAAATAACCTGTTTTTGTGTTCTTTTCTTTCTAACACTCATTGGTGCTATCATTGCAAAGGCAACATTTCTACTGATGACCTCAGCAATTGGTACCATTAAAGTAAATCTGACCATTTGCAACGATAAAATCCCCGGTATGTTCCAGTAAAGTCTAAGAATCATTGATATTTATGATGATGATTTGATTAAAATGATAAATGGAAATATGCATAATTATGATAATGTAAAAAGATAAGATCATAATATCATATTATCAATAAAATCGTTCGGTTTATTACTATTATCAGTTTAGTTTATATCATTGATAGTAATTTATTAAAGTAGTTAAAGTATGAAATGAATGATACTGTTAGAAATGATAAAGCAATCACTGTTTAAATGAAATCTTTTTTTAAAGAAGGAATTGTGATAATGATCAAATTCTTATGCATTATATGATAACATAAAGTGATAATTTGCTGATATCTTTTTCACATATTATTCCATCATTATCTTTAGTTAATTAACTACCACTTTAACAAGGAAAATAATAAGTGATGAACAATTTTATTATTTAATTAATTAATTAGTTAGTTAATTAATTAATGTATTAAATGAAACCAATTTCTTGTTTCTCGGCTTAGCAAGATACTTCCTTTATAACTGATCATATTGCGAACCGGATAGCTACTTGTTGGGAAAAACTGGTTTGCTTGTTCAATATATAACTGAAGTGACGGATTTACTTCTTAGTGTTTATTTGTAATAAATATATCAGTTAGCTTAAGTGAAATTTCAAAATCAATTAGGAGAAGAGAATTTGAAATTTCAATTCAATATGTGTTAAATAACAAATAGAACTAACCAATTAATTTCACTTTCATATGCTTTTATTGAAGACATCTTTAGGTAAATTCGTTTTACCTATGGTCTAGTGAGGATTACTTGCGATTTAGTATCTAGAACGAATTATTTGCGATACAGTATCTAGAGTAAAT